CGCGATTGTACGAGAAATAAATATTTAACTGTTTATGTTGTTGATAAAAAAAAAAAAACATCTCATCGCTTTATTTAAAAATAAGACATTATCACGCAGCCCAGCCATATTTGCTGCAGAATTATGCACATATCAGACAAATGATGATATTACTGTGTGTATAAAAGCAGCGTTTACTCGAAGCAGTAATTCAATCTTTGAATATTTGCAGACTATCAATCGTGTTATTATTGTAAACTAAACTACGTTGGAGGTAGAACGAACCGATGTCGTAAAGTTCACATGATTCGCAGCGAATATATTAAGAAAAAAAGGAAAAAAAAAAACCTGCGTTACTGCGAAAACGATCAATCTCACTCCGGCACAGGAGTTTCCCCACATGGAGGAGAAAGAAATAACAATAGAAATAGCTGCGAATATTCTCGAAGGAAATATTGTACAACAATTCGTGCATGCGTTATCTTATCTGTACTCGTGCAGAATCCGTTTTTACTACATTCAAGGTATACATAATTTTGATGAAACCGACAAATCTGCCAACCGCTCACTGTCACCAGAGAACTCATCATGACCGAGAGAGAACGTGAAAAATTAGGGAGCACGACGTTTTGGCCGCAATGGATCGCTGGTTGCGGAGGTAAACCTAAACAACTAGACCTTCTTTTTTTTTTACATCTCAGAGGAATTAAAAAATATGTAAAGTTGCGTAAAGTGCAATTTACGGAATTGTAAATATAAATATTTTAAATACAATACTAAAATATAAAACTGAATACGAGTTTGCACAACGAGTCCGCGGGCTGATTAGTTTGTTGTCTGAACGCTACGTAACAATGTTACAACGTGGAAAACCATGATTTCCAAATGTTCTTTACAGTGTGGCTACTGGTGACAGAACTGGGATTAATGGGATCGTGGTCCTCTCCGTACATCGACTATTTAATGTCTCCGGACGCTGCGTTTCCGATCACGCTGACGGAATTGTCATGGGTGGTGTCGTTGCTGAACTTGGGACGGTTCTTCGGCGCCATCGGGAGCGGTATATGCATCGAGTGTTTCGGCAGCAAAACGACCGTCTTCATCACCAGCGTGCCCATCTCGTTAGCCTGGCTCTTCATCATCGTGGCCAACAGCGTCGAATGGCTATACGTCTCGAGATTTTCCGCTGGCATTAGCCTAGGAATGCTGCACGGCTGCTACTCCATATATCTGGGAGAGATCGCAGATCCGAGTATCCGAGGGGCATTGATCGCATTCGGCACAGGCGGGCTAGTGACTGGGAATTTTATAATGAGCGTGATGGGAGCGTATTTGCCAATGTACGTGTCAGCCGCGATAGCCCTGGCTCCTTGCTTTCTACTGATGGCCCTTTTCCTCTGGCTGCCAGACTCGCCTCATTACCTGATCAAGAAGAAGCTGGACGAGAAGGCCAGGTCGTCGGTCCAGTGGTATCACAGAGACTGCGACGTGGAAACGCAGTTCACGGACTTACGAAAGTTCGTGGAGAATCTGAACAAACAGTCATTCTCGGACACCGTCAAGGAGCTGAGGGCCGTTCATTTCCGCAAGTCGATACTCATCGTTATGGCTCTCATGGCGTACAGTCAAATGAGCGGGATTAACAACATTTCATTCTACATGCAGTCGATTCTAGTGTCGGCGAAAGTCAGCGTGATCGATCCGGCGACAGCGGTGATCATAGTGATGGGATCCGGCCTCGTCGGGCCTTGTTTATCGATGATTCTGATGGACAGATTTGGAAGAAGAATTCTCATGATGGTGTCGTGCACCGGAATCGCGTTGTCGCTCAGCCTGCTAACGATCGAGTTTCAACTGCTGGATTTCGGTCTCGAACCGAAAACAGTGGAATTGTTGCCGATCGTCGGACTGATTGCCTTTTACGTGACAGTTTTCTCAGGCGTTACGCTCGTGCCAACAGCCATGCTGGGCGAACTTTTCCCACCGCATCTGAAATCCGTCGCGTCGTTCGTTATCAGCAGTTTCGCAGCCATCGTCTCTTTCGTCTCGACTGCCACTTACGTGCCGCTGCTTAATTTCATGACCGAACGGTACCTATTTCTATTCTACGGCCTGTTAATGGCCACGGCTGTACCGTTTACCTTGATCTTTGTGCCCGAGACGAAAGGCATGTCCCTGCAGGAGATTCAGGAACAATTGACAGGGAGGAATAAATCTCGAAGCACGTCCAACGTCGATAAAACGAAACTCTCTGACCAACAGAACGCGGAAGCGTTTGTTATCTGTGCCAATTAACTTATCGCGCGAGATTGTAGATACGAGCAATGTAAATGCAGAAATATTTCAATATTCCTTTTAAACTAAAACGAAGGTGAAATTGTTTATTTTTTTGTTAATTAATTAAAACTTCTATAACTTTGTCCTATATCAAGCAATCCAAGCAAACCATTTCCTAATGTATTAATCGAACGATACATGAATAAAAATCACCTTCCGTTATCACCTTAGTTATTAGTCATAACAATTCGACGTAATGAAATATAAGACTATATTGGTTAAAAGCAAGCTGCTACTTCGCGTTGAAGAAATATTTTCAACAAATATTTGAACATCCCTGACGATACACTCTTGAAACTTTTGTGAAGGTAAATTCCCATTGATTTCAAACCGGGGAATCTTGATATGGGGCCACCCTGTGGTTATCTCGCTGGCGAAAAATTGTCTCTCGGTCGAGGAAATATTTCGCTGGAACCGATGCAAGCGCATCTCGAAGAATTCCCCAGTAAATCCAGAAACGACGAACGAAGGCCCGGATAATAGAAGAAAAGGTCGCGATGTCTGTTGTTCTTTTGCCTCCCATTCTTCCTTTAACCGAGAAACGATGTAGCTATTTCTCTTTGGGGCGGACACACGCCGCCGTCGTAACGTCGACGATGGAACTCGGCCAGTTTCATATTTTACAAGACGATATTTCAGCCGCTGCGCCATGGCAACGCTAAAGGTGCCACGGTCCCATGGTGGCAATGGCTGAAAATTGCACGCTGCCTTATCTCACCCGGGTCATTGCACGATGACTATCCCTGATGACCTTATAAACGCCAGTGGGCGTCGATACGAATTTACGACACGATTCTTCTTCGTTGTTAAGTTATACACTTTGCGCTTTAGTGCAAGCAGAAGCTCTAATAATAAATTTCTCGTGGGCGGGCAGAGGAATGTAAGTCGGAATTATTGGTTTCGGTGAAAGGCACTCGCAGACTGTTTAAATTTAAAGCACGACGTTGCGTCAGGCGTGAGATTTTGGTAAATGAAAGTTGATATTTTCATGCATTCGTGAAAAATTTCGAGCTACAAAAATGCCGCGAATGTGACGCACATGATGTACAAATATATATGTATAAACCTGGATATAAATATAATATATTATCACATATAACAGTACAATGTACATCATAATTTTTTTTTTTTTAGATATTTTATAAATGTATTAAATGTAAATCTATATTATATAAAATGCACAAATAACGTGTCCGTCTAGATTCTATTTTTACAAAAACATGAATTTCAATAAAAATCCAGAGACACTTGAATTTGAATTTTATAACTGTTTCATTTTCCTAAACACACATATATTACTAGTCTACGCTTGTCCTGACAGCGCGGATCCGTTCGAGACATACATCATTTTTTCGAAAATAATGATCCACATTACGTCGACTGAAATTTAACGTAACCGATCGTGCGCCAGAGAAATATGACTATGCCGTATATTCATTTTCTGTAATAATAAAGATGAAACGAAAAACAAACGACGCGGTACGATTAAAACAAGCGGCTGGTCGAAATAATAAAATTGCACGATATTATACATACGATGCGAAAGAATGATTCGTCACGACACAAGCTAGAATATGTACACGCGACATTATACCGCGTTATATTGACGACGAACCGAACGTCAACGCGGCGAATTAATTACTTAAACGTCACCGTTATTTCATAATAAATGTTTCACGTATCACACGCGCATCCACCGTTCCTACGGGCGGTACGCGGCCGGTTATCATTTTAAATTCATTACCGTGCTACCCAATTGCACGGATTCGGAGGATCCGGTGAGCCAATAACTCTTTGCTCCATCCAGCGGCGGGATAATGGTCGCAACCTCGCTCTCTGACACGCGCCAATGCTGTTAAGTTATTGCATCTAGCCCGACTCGGACTCGCGATAAACCGATTTCCAGCGATCGGGGACATTCCGCGGAATAAAAGATCGTAGAAATCATACCGCGATATGCAATTAATGCCGCGCTCCATTTCATGATTTGCAAGATGCATCAAGCTTTCAACGCTGTTGTCCGCCTCATGAAATATTCATAAATATTCACTTTTTCTTTCGATTACCATTTCACGGACCTTCCTCCCTCTGTTTTCCTTCCTTCTTCTTTCTCCTTTTCTTTTTTTTCTTTTTTTTTTTTTTATTATTATTATTCCCTCCTAGTTGAAACGATCGTTGCAGTTAAAAAAAAAAAAAAGAAAAGAGGTGGAGACACATCGTAAAAAAAGGCGATTACCGTTCGTATCTGAAGCGGAATATTCACGCTGGAGAATGGAAATTTAAATGTTGAAACGTTGGGCACGTTCGACCGGAAATAAGATGCCATAGCCTGACGATTTGATAAATCTCGATCACGCGTCCGATTCAATTTATACCTTCGGGAAAGTTGAAAATTGGATCGGGCTCGGTGAACAGGTAAACTTCGTTACGAATTATAATAAGCTTCGACGTGTATCTGGATATTATTGTTCGAAAGAGATAGAATTTAACGTACGAGCAGCCTGGCCTCATATACCATCTGCTGGCAAAGTTAATGTCTCAGATGAACCGTCTGAACGGAAAATTAATAAAAACAACGAGACAGTAAAAACTAACGCAATATCGAATGACGTCTCTTCGTCGGAAACGGAAAAGTTACAGAGATATTTGATGATGACACGCACGTATTTGCACAAAACTCGCAAAGTTAATATCTGAGTTGCAAATGTAAAGATCAATTGATTGTAAATGTAATATCAATTGCAGCGATATTTGGATATTGGTACTTGAATGAAACAGAACGCACGCTGTAGGAACTTCCTTGATATAATTCATTGATAAAATTAATATCTAAAGTGTGTATCTCGTTGACCTGCAACGAGGCAGAAGATTGCAACAAGAGCTAGCGCAAACGAGTGACTTGCGTTTCTTCTTCGTCCCAGCGAAGAAAATACGGAGATGTTTGATGCCACCTTAAACCTTTCTCAAGAACAAACAAGATAGTTTATCGCCGCGCGGATATAAACGCTTCTCTCGACAGAGTCGCGGAAATTGTACGCTTAAAGGCAAGCACTGTACATCACTGGCTTTCTTCGAGTTCTACACGGTTTCCGTGGTTTCGAAACAAACTCGTGCATTTGCTTTTCGGCCTGCACGTGCTAAAAAGGACAAAGTTAAAGTTCGTTTAAATTTTTTTGATTCACCTGCAAATAACGCAGGTACTTACTTGGTAAAATTTTATTTCGTTACTAGGCAAAGCCTGTTTTATTAATCTGCACGATTATTCCAATTACAGGGAAATGTTCGTGCTACATATAATATCTCGAGCACGTAATGGCTGCTACGAACACTAACTCAATCGTTCTCCTATGTACAGGTCGTATCTATATTCATTTCAGAACTCCTAATCGCTTTAAAGCTGTCTACAACTAAACCGAGTCAATTATCCTGTCAACTCTCTGCTCTGAATCCTCTTACCTGATGGAAATTATAGCGCTACATTTGGTAACACCGAGCGAGGTAACTGTTTCTAAATTTTCAATTTCGTGAAACACTCAGAAAAGGTAAAAAAAAAAAAAAAGAATGTCGACATATTCGACAAAATAAATAAATAAATATTCTTTTTCGAAACTTGTAAACTTGTTTGTGAAAAAAAAAAAAAAGGGAAAGAAAGTAGAATAACAAATCGAAGAAAAAAATCATTTCTCTCTAAAAGACTTCGTGAAACTTAAGCGAGCATTTATGGTTTCTCGAAGCATTTCAGGAAACCGTAGAAAATTTACTTCAACTATCGACACTCGTATAATTCGTATAATTTGTTTCAGGTTCGTCTTCAAAGCCAGCGATACAAATTTTTATCGTTTTGGTTAATTGAAGAAGCTAATTGACACCGATGAGAAAGCGTACTTTCACACGTCACGCCAAAAACGAAACGAACCATTCATTTCGCTCGCCAGACTCGACACACTGGTTTAATTTATCTCGGCAGGCAGTCTTGCAAGGAGACGCAACACAAAAGCACGCACAAGCTAACGACGGAAATTATTATCGTTTCGTCGAACGTAAGTAGATTTACTCGACGAACGCTGTTTAATCGTAATTGTAGACTACATTACCGAGACTGCAGTGAGGAAGCAATCAAATTTAAAAAAAATATTACGAAATACGTGCCACAGCACGGTTCTTCGAATATTATAGAGCACGGCTACAATAGTCACGCTTTAAAAATTGATTTGCAATTATTAAAGCGCGGTCTTACGGACCAATTTTTACCTACGAAATTTTTATTCTCATCGTAATTTACAAATACATCTTCTTTGAGGCGTTTCGCATATCAACTTATCCTTTCAATCAGCATATGCGCAGCTTAATTTGCTTTT